CAGGGTTTTCAAAGTGAACATTGTAAAATGAGTTTACTAGTAGGTAACCAGAAAACAGATGATTTCAAACCACTGAAAGACCACCAGTACTCTCTCAAGAAAGAAAACTTACAATTTCAATGAATCCTTTTACTATATTCTGTACCTATTTCCATCACAGAAGAGTAAGGTAATTTAGAAGTCTATGTCCCCAGTGAATTTCTAACATTTCAACAAATTATCATTTACAGTTTTAAACAAACTGTTTTCTTCACACCTGTGACACAGGTACATTTCTACATTTTTTTCTTTCCATTGCAAATTAAGAGTTTTTTTCAAAAACTCTTTTTAAAAAAGACATAATGAATCTGATATCCTATTGGAATTAAGCCATGGTCAATTCCAATTTTGTGAGCATCTCGTCTCAGATAAAAAAATAAAGTGCCAAATCTCTAAAGAAGTTAATGTCACTGTTGACATTAATACTCAGAACCTCTCTATCCTGGATATGGAAGATAATTTGACGCTAATAATTTGATGTCAGTTTCTCACACACACAACACAGTTCTTGCTGATACATGGAACACAGGCTCTTTATAACAAATACCCCAAAGATCTTTAATTGGTAGTTAGGAAACATGTTTTTCCTAATCATCAAGTCTCTTAAATATTATGTTTTTAAATATGCATTTAGGGAAAGTAATGAGGTAAGATATGAGAGGGATAAAGAAGGTATGTTGTTTTCAAAATTAAAATTTTCAGGACATCAGTCCAGCAGGCATAAAACAACATAAAACAAATAACTAGATAATCAAACAATAAAAGCAAACTAGAAATAATATGAAAGCTTTTTTAAAAACTGTTATTGCACATATGCAATAATTACTTCCATCAAGACTTTTATTATACATTTGTTTTTATGGAATCATAATGCACAAGTGCATGCTATTGTTTAAACACATTCACCACATACCCCATAACAGAATATGATGACAATATGTATTAAAGATAATACAGAAAATGTGGCTAAATGCATTCTGTATTATGGTTCCATAATACAGCATGCAAATGGTTCTGACTAAGCAGACACAGGAGACGGTCGTTAGTGTGCACGCTGTGAATGTATATTATGAATAATGCATAAAACTTGGCTAAATCTTAATGAGTCCATTGACATCCTATGGGGTCCAAAGGAGGCTCAGATCCCAAAGCATGGCCTTGGCACGTTTCTACCCACCAATCATAATAAACAATACCATGAAAACAAAGGACATTAAACTACATGAATAGACTCTCATTCTAGGTAAAGGTTTTGAAATAAGCACAAGAATTGGAAGAAACTTTGAAAAGAGAGCTAAAAGTCCATCTTACATCATCACTCCACTTACAGTTTCTGAAAATTAGCCATTGCAATTCAAATGGGACAAAAGCTGCAGTTGAGGGTTTGATGTTATTTCTTTTCTCTGGTTTTCTTCAGGGAGCTGCTATTACAAGGAAGATGCGAGCAATCCGTAAGAAAAGTGACCACACTCTTAGCCCATGGTGGTAGGAAGTCTTTCTGCTTTGAAAGACTAACGTTTGCAAAATGAAGCATGGTCAATTAAATAAGGGAATAGATGTAATATGTCTGCACTCTTTAAAGTACAAACTCCTTAAAATTCTGGTTTTTACACAGCTTTTTAAAGAATCAAAAAGAACGCCATGAGCAGGTTACTCACAGCACATTTAAAAAAAAAAATCAATGTTTTTTCCAATAGCTATTATATACAGACTCTTAAAACCTGAGTCCTTGAAAAGAGAAGCCAAACCATACATCTATTATCCCAACATGGGTGTACCCCAAGATGAACACCTATACGGGCATGTTTAAAATGTTCACTTAGCCAAAAATGCAACGCCACGCAAGCTGTGCTTGAGATGCACAAATTAAGTATGTGACAGAGGCCTGTGCACCCAAGCCTCTCCTTGGGTGGCAGTGGGAAAACAAGGAATGCCACTTCTCCATGGTGCTCCCGGGGGCGGGTGGGCATTCTGAGAACACATCCCTAGAGCACAGAGAAGAGGTGAGGGCCGGCCACTTGGGGAAGCTGAAAGCCAAGAAAAACCCTGCACTCTCAGAAAACATGCAAGAGCAAGATGTCGAAGTGGGAGCAGGAGCAAGAATTCTGGGATGGCGTTCTTGTCAATCTGCCCAACTCCATGAGGTCTTCCCATCCTTTCACCAGATACAACAACCAGACAAGGCCAAGGCAAAGGCCCAAACTAGAAGCTGTCCTAAGAGCCTAAAAGCATGAGAATGCATAAATACCTCCATCATTGAATTCTAAAAGACAGGTCATTTACCATCCCATATCTGAGCTCAAATCGGCTCCTGGTTTAGCTGTAATGGCAATTTAGCCTATATGCTGCGAATTGAGGGCTCCCTGGAAGATTCTTTCTGCAAAATAATATTGCTATATATTTCCCATCTCTCACTACCAGCACAGGCAGAAACACTAACTCTAAACATTTATGAAAAACAACTCTTCATAAGTTTCTATTTAAAGTACAAATACTCCTGGGTATAGTTAAGAAAAATCACGATAAATTTGCGTTTGTTTTCAGTTTGCTTTCTCTTGTGAAAACAGCTAGGACAATAGAGGAACCTAGTAGGTTTGGGGTAGTTATTGAGAGATTTAACAATAGGGCAAGAGGTTAGAGAAGATGGAACCCCCTGACAGATTAACTTTGCTTCCTGTTCCCGATTACACTAGCTCACACAACCCGGAATTCTGTGATGAGGAATTAAGACTTTCAAGAGACTCCTAAGGTTTCAAATTTTGGGGGGCACCTTATTACATTTGTATTGACACCTGGGTAAGCACAGTCATTGCTGCTAGAGCATGAAGTATGAAAATCATACAGAAAAAATAAGGTATCTGTTGTCACCGCTTCTGCTATTTTCCTTGTTCTAAAATCTGTCTCATATCGAGTGCAACAGAACAAAGTTCAGTTCCTGATAGAACAATTCCATAAAGCTATTCTGCCTCTGAAAACCATTCTCCACCACAGCTGGTCCCAGCTACACTATAAGCAGCTGACAATTGCTTCTCCCACCCCCTCCCTTGTTTCTTCACCCCTCCCAGATGCCACCAAAAGAATAACAGAAAAAGTCTCTCAGTAGCACTTTGCTTCTCAGCGGGAACCTGTACTGTTTGTGATATCCATTTTGATTCAAACCTAAATTAGGCCTCTGGAAATAGGTAATGCACAAAAAAGAAGCATTTTGTGTCACCAAATTATTATTATAGGTTACTGTTAACCCTTGGAAGATGGAGGTGAGCTCGGCAGCTCCCCACTGGGGTGACTATTTCTCACGAAATCACAGGCCCTGCCTCAAAAGATGTCTCAGGTGAGCTTGCCATAAGGCAAACTATCTGGTTGACCTATAGGATTCTGATAGCTAGTTTAAGTGGGGAAGCTAAGAGAAATGCCAGTTAAACAAAAGGATCAGCACAGCATGCCGAGCCAGCAGTGAGCTAGCACAAGTTTAACAGCTGACAGAGCCTGGAGAGAGCTGGAGGGATCAAGGTATTTTACTATCAGACCGATTTAAGACCCTTCTCTTCAAAAGCTCTCCTTGTAAGGTTTAGAGGGGCAAAAGTTCAGAGCAACGCATATTTTTTTTTAAAGAGTTCACTTGTGATAAAACTATCAACGAGTCCTGTTGAAATAATTAGAGTATTGAATGTGCTGCTGTTTGTTTTTTTTTTTCATACAGTTCAGATGCAAAATAAATTTCATTGTTGAAAATCCCTGCTCAAAAATTTAAACTGCTGGCCCCTAATTAAGATTCAGAAAAATCTTAGAACTTACCCTGAAACTAACCCTGCAGTATCATTCTAGCACTGAAAATCTTTGCCATTCTTGAAAATCTTTGCCATTTTTACTTTTTCTAATTTAACCTTGGTAATATCTGATTCTCTCATATTCTTCTTTCTTCATAACTAAATTAAAATAAATAGCATGCATATGGTTAATTATAAACATAACTGAGTTTAAGCATCCAAATCAAAGACCACTTTCTATTAACCTATATTAGTAAAAGAAATGTGCAGGATTTGCATGTCATCTTCTCATCTTTCAGCACAAGTCAGGCCCCTTTCTGATGAACAATTGTAGGAGAGAGAGTTGCCATGTCACACAGCAATAACTTGGCTTTTCATTCTTCCATATGCATTTTTATCCGGTGTTTTGGTGAATATTATTGTGTGCCTGGCTTATCTCATTAAAATAAATAGACATGACTGAATTCATGTCTCTTAAGAGACAGTAAACACAACACAAAACGTTATTCCTCAAATTGGAATAACCAATATTTATTGGATAAATAACTGAATAAGGCTTCTTCAAAGTGAGTATCATAAGTTGATGGTGAAAAGCAACAGAATTATCCTGCAGCTGGTAACATGGAAAATAAAACAGCTAAGAAGAACAATCAAAGTTTTCTAGGGAGTTTAGTAGACTGTGGATACCAGCCAAATTTCATAGCCGCCCGGAGTTTTTAGCTGAGTCTCTAAAACGTGAAGGCAGAGTAAATGTTCCTCTCCTGTTTCCTAGACACAACTCGTAAAATGACAGGTTCTTTCTAATGTCTAAGAATCGTGTTTAGGTCTCGTTCTAGTCAGCAACAGGATCTTCAAACTGAGAAAATGCCTGTTCAATCCCATAAAGCTGAGGTGTAACATTTTAACTTCCAAATTCCTGGAACCACACACCTTAGGGTAAGGCCATCTCCCAGTTTTCCCAGTACGATCTCATTCAAGGACCTCTGACCAGCTAATGGCTAGATTTGCTCAGGATATCTAGAAATCATCTGAATGCCAGCTACTGAATTAAATCTCCTATGTTTCCATTTTCTAAACTAATTCCTCCATCCAAATATTCGACAGCATTTCATCTAGTCACAGTGAAAGCAGCTCACTGTGGACAAGGCGTTTTCTTAAAAGTTTCTGCAGGCTCTCTGTCCACTCCATACATACCTGTGCAGTTCACTCCCTGGGAAGTTGCTTTTGCCATAGCTTCCTCCTTAAAAATATTCCTACGCTCACGCTGGTTTTGTATCTGTTCAGTTCAAATTTAGATTCATTGGTACTTTTCCACAGTTACATTTCTTGTTCGATTGATGTTTCCTTTTATTTATTCTGAAGTTCTCGATGTAAGACAAACAGGAATACCACCTTCTAAAATTACTACTATCCTACCATCCTCCAATGGAACATTACCGGGAAGCAATATTCGCCAAAGCTATGAAGCATACACTGCCCTAAATTACATTGCAGTCTCGGCCCTGAGCTCACACATTTTTGAATAGAAAGGCTCCCAGGGATCTCTCTGTACTGACTGCATTTACTGCTTTAAAATATTTTTAACCCAGACACTGAAGTGCCAGCCTTGCAGTTCCTCATGCTAATCCCAGCTTGGGTGGCTTGTTCTTAAGGGAAAGCATTCAAAACATTGTAACAGTGCATCAACTTTGACCCTTTTCACTTAAACATGAGACTCTTAAAAAAAAGTTTGAATTCCAGAGGGAATCGCTGAACTTTGACCTGCTTAAAATTAGTTTTGTTTTAGTGCCTTCATGGTGACTCAACAGGCCAATTTTCCAGACACTTAAGATGTTTCTGCCCCTGAAGATTCCAGTTAAAGTCCCCGGCTATGTTCGCTGGTCAGATCAGAACACTTTGTCCCAGGGTTTCAAGCAACAAATTCCCAGATCTCCATCTCTTTGCCAGATGTTGGCATTACTTGGGTATTAAGATGGATCTATACACACACACACACACACACATACACACACACACCCCACAAAATCAGAGGGCAGGCCCTAATTCTTTTTTCACTTACAGCATTTTAGGAAACAAAGTTTTCCACTCAAAATTCAGTCTTAGGGAAATGTTTATCAGGATTATATAAACATTACTTACTAGCCTAACTCTTATAAGACTAAAACTCTTTAACTTTTGGTTAGCAGTAGTACTATGACACATTTAAAATACAATCTTTCTAAATCTATTTTTATCAATGAGGAAAAAAACCTGCTGGGACTTTGTTTTCTAATCTCTTATGGATTTTAGAAATTGTCAATGAACAGTTATCACATCACAAATGAACAAGATCACAATCTTATACTTTCCTTCTATAGAATTTCAACTATGACATTTGTTGTCAAAAAGTCACAGCAATTAATAAGTAAAATAAATTTACTTATGTTCAGTTTTATTTAGTCCCCCAAAACTCTTCCCCACCCTTTACGAAAAAAAACTTAAAAATACAAATTAGTGCCCAATTTCATTAATATAAACTGTGGTCTATTAGTTTGGAATGATTTCTGCATAAACTCTGTACTTTAAAATTTTTAGAAAAGTTAAGCATAAATGCAGTCAGGAAAAGAAAATCGATGTAGTATTATGAAGCTAGAAAAAAAGAAATGCTAACACAGGTAGTTAACCATGATAAAAGAATCAACATAACACAAATTAGTCTATACAAATTATATACCCTGTTAAACAAGAAGTCTTTGTTGTCTTCGATGGGTGAGTTACCTTTATTGAAAGCCAGTGGTATAAAAGTGTGTTCCAGATCTTCATATTCAAACACTGGTTTGCACTTATATCTATCAATTTTGAAAAAGCTACCAACAACATTCTTAAAATATAGGCCTTTGACCCATATTATAATATCCTAGGCTAGAAGTCAGAAATTACATAGATGGTACAGGGTCACAAAAACTGACCACTGCAAGATTCTATCTTAAAGTTTTCCTCTCCTTCCATTAGACAGCACTAATTCCAATTCAATACTCAGAAAATAAAATCTACTCACCTGAGTCTATCTGGTAATCACTTCTTTCATTTCCTACATATATAAGAAAGAACACAACAAAGATGTTCAAAGTGGGAGGAAATATTGACCTTCTGGCTATGTGCATTAATTTAGACCTACTTCATCTTCATTTATTCATAAATCATTCAACAAATAAACATTGAATGGCCACAGATATCTTAAATTAAGAAAATATTTGGAAATCATTCCAACTATTTCACATTTCAAGTACATGTAACTATTAATAATAAAATGGGCTACTAATTATGTAAAGGTATTTTGGTCTTGCCTTCCAAAAGACATAGCTGCATTTTTCTTTGTATACCTTGCAAAAACTAATGGATGGTGTCATTAAAAAATATTGTAACTGTTTTTTAAATAAACATACACTGTCATCTAAGTCCAAATGTATTTTTTCTTCTTAGTGATCACCTTAGAACACCACTCACTTAAAAATCAGCCAGTACTCACAGTGTTTTTTACCCCCTTTTGAAACTGCTTTCTGAGTCTGTACACAGCACATGCATGCACACACACTTCTAAATATCCTCAGTGGTGACAAATTTCATAATTTGAAAGTCAATTTGAGCCATTTTCATCATTTCAGGGTGACATTTATAGCCAATTCTGGTGAATTAAAAAAAAAAAGAATGATGAATCTTGGTATAAAATGTGATTAGAAAGTAATGAGACGGATGTGTTAGTCAGGCTTGCAAATGATTCAAAGGGCAATTCTGAAAGAGGAAGTCTTCCAAAATGTTTTGGACAAGGGCATCATTGGAATAAGAGTTTTGCTTCTCTGGGTGACAATTTAAAAAAAAAAACAACATTAATATGAAGGCATAAATTACAGTGCAATCATTGTTTTCAAAAATCAAACTCTGTACTCTTCAGTCACACCCTGCAAACATTAAACAGAGCAGATATATGTTTTCATTTAGATGGCTACATATGTGCATTCTGAAGCTTCCAGTGGGTGGAAGCTAACCATAAGTTGATTTGCAAAATATTACATATAATACAAACTTAACATAACTCTTTTGATCTTTCAGAAAAGTGACATGCAATTTTTTTTAAAAAAAACCTTATTTTTATAGTCAGATATTTACAACCAACCCCAATCTGTAGGCTTCTATAAACTTTTTTCTCCTATATACCGTCAAAACCTGACAAGAGCTCACTGTGGCATTATGCACAAAAACTGCAAATTTAAACAAGGTGCGATCGTACACTTTTTCACACATTATTGTATCACACTGCACGAGAAAACTAATGTATGCACAGTTCCAAAATAGCCTGGGCTATTACTGCACAGCCTTGAAAAACTGGTAATATCCCGATGAAAGCACCTTTCAAAAGCTGTTCCTTTATTATTGCACACTCGTAAAAGGTTGCTTTCACTATTTGTATTTTACAATAGAAAAAAATGAAAAAATGTCTCTGACACTGCCTCATAATTCTGAGGTCTTATTTCTTATTAGATTCTTCATAGTTATAAAAGTTGTTTCATCAATATGACCATGACAATGGGACTCAATACTATTTAATCGACTCAATTATGGAACAAATGTGCTTTTTTCCTTTTGCTGCCCTACTTTCCTTTAAGTTGCATTTGAATTATTGATGAAATCACAATAAAGCATTTCTTTGTTACATGTAGTTGATAAGTATAGAAGGATGCTTCATGGTTAATTTTTAGACTCATTGTGATAAAATAAACACACTTGTCCTTTCAAAGAAAGTCAATAGCATGGTACAAGCTTAAAAGAATGACTTTTCCTTTTTTTCCCCCATTGTTTTGAGAACATAATGTTCTGAAATGGTGAACATAAATACAACTATAAAAAGAGAGAATGGTAAGAAAGAGTATAGTATAGAAAATACTGTTCCAGGTCTTTCTGGGTGATAAAAGATTTAAACTATGATAAATTTAGGTTCTGCTTTTCCTCAAGTATTCCAAACACCCATTTAGTCACGTAGCAGGATGCAGCCCCCAAAAAGTGTTAGAATGAATAGTTTTCAGGATAAGAACATTTCTTACATAGAATACCCTAATCACTACCTATCTGATGTTCCCTCCATCCCATTTTCCAAAATCGAAAATCGGAATCCTTTAATTACTCACCATTGTTTTTATGATAAAAAAAAAAAAAAAACCCAAACCCCAGCAGGACCTACAAGACCCTACATGAGATGACTCCTGCCTCTCCAACGTCACCCTTCATACCATTGCCCCTGCCACACTGCTCTCTTAGTTCTTTAACATTTCAAGACTTGAACATGCTTTCCTCTAGCCCAGGTTACCCGCACCTTCTTCAACTACTTAGCCCTTGGTTCTCTTCATCCCACAGCCCAAATGTGTCTTCCTCGTGAAAGCCTTCTGGGACTTCCAGAGTAAATCAGGCTAACCCTATACCTCCTCCCGGCTCGCCTGTACTCTTCCTCCATAACACACTCTATAGCACTTGTCACTATACGTATTTACAGTACGACGATCTCAGCCAGCCTACGTTCTCTAAGTCACCAGAGAAACTGATGTCCCCATGCCCTGTGAAACACACTGTTGGCCTGGGTGGCACCCTGGTGGCAAAAAGGTTCCTCTAGCAACCCACACATTCCCATTCTCCCCACTTTAATTGTCTGCTTCGTCCCAAGTCTGTTCATGTCATTTGTTATTATAACTGTGTAGATTAACTAAATATTACATAACTAATGAAATACGAAGGCAAAAATGGATATTTTAGTGACCCTAATTTGAACGCTTTGGAAAGAATAAACACAGATTGTTTTTAAAAAAACCACTAAGTTAGACGTCGAATAACTTCACAAAATTGGAATAAAAAAAAATTTAAAAATCCTAGCAAATTCTGCACTTAGATTGCTCGCCAAATGCCTTTAAGCTCTACTGCCATTTTTAACAAATCAAAAATAAAAACCATCCAATGTATATTATAGGTGTGGCTTCCCCAAGAGAATAAGGACTGTCACTTAAGAGACTCATACTTAAAAGTCAGGACTATACATCAATTACTTGACAAATTAACAAAAACTGATAAAACAGTGCAACATCGATACATTAATAAGCATATATGTTAAAAATCACAAAATATTTAATATAGATAGCATTTAAGATTCTATGCTTTAGTGATTTTTTTTTTAAAAATCTGCAGTCCAGTTACCAATCAAAATGACACTGGGAAATAGAATGTCTCTCTGGTCTCCGTTTTTGTTGGCATGGTTAGCTGAACACCCTCCATATTTTTCACTAGATTGTCTCCGAAAAGGGTAGGGACCAAATCTCTTTTGCTCAGCACAGTAACTCCATTACTCAGCTCATATGAGACAAAGAATGAACCCTTAATAAACTTTTTTGAATGAATAATAGTCAAGATTAGTCAAATTCAACATTATTTATTTTAAATTACTATTAAATATATTAAATTACTATTAAGATCAATATGCAAATATGTATAAAAACATTAAGAACAAGTATGGATGAAGTTACCTGAGGATTTCAAGGCATAATATTTTTTTGAGAGACAATATATGCTCTTTACTCAATAATGGAAAAATAATTTGTACATGTATAAAAAAAAGAATCTTAATTTTTATTATTTTTCAAAACAGCACTCTCTAACATAACAAGGTTTCTGCCTTTGAACTTATGAACTATATTTAAGATTATGTGATTAGGTTTCCCAACCATGATTACCATATCCTTATTAAGACTTCTATACACTAGCTCCAAATCCAGCTACCTCTTAATTTTATCTATAATGAAAAGTAATAATAATGCTACCTGAAATGTATTTATCCCCTTCCTTCCAAGAAATTTAAAGCAACCAATATCTTGTGAGCAGGCGCTGTTAAATAAAAAAATGAGAACATAACTGAAACGAATTTTTATTAGCAAAATAAAAGATGTTAATAAGGAAGCCAAGCTATCTGAAGTTCAGGCACAAGATGACTCTGGGATAATTCTTATAAACTCAGGCTGAGTTTTACCAGAAAAATGCTTATACACATTTAAAATTCTAACATATTATATTTATGGAAGGTTTTGTCTTTTCAGATTCTCTATTGCTGAGATGGCACACATAAAGATATCTTGTAATTATTGCATTTAACTGATTTATCAACTGATGAATCTAAGAAAAAATAAGCAATGGGAGAACATTCAAAAGCATTCTGGGAAATTAGGCAGGATATGGGTCATAAATTAGAGCCACATATACAGAAGGGTAATGATGTCAATGTGGCCCCAACCTTTTTAGTTGATTATGAGGAATTGCTAAACAGAAGTAAAGGCTAAGTCGTTATGACCCTGGCTAGTGCACGCACACACACACAATGCACACACAAATACACACACCCACACACTTCCCCCATGATTTTAAAAAATATTTCAGAGCATCACAACTATCTTCCAAAACTTATTCTTTCTTCAATTTACTTTTTAATACTTATAGCCCATACTATCTCATTTAAATAGGTGCATGTGTCAAGCCCATTACATTGTCAAATTTTGTCTCCAGTGCACTTTCTCCCCATTTAGTATATAACTTGGACTGGTTCAGTAGCCTTTAAAGTGGGTGCAAAAAAGGAAAAAGAAAACAAATCTATTGGCACTCTAGAAGTAAATATTACAGCTTTTATTTACATTACTTGTTCTGTAGCTATTCTTTATTCCCTCTATCTCATCCCTTTTTATGTGTTTACTATTAGTAAAGAAATATATATATTTTTAATTGATGGTGCATATATACATAGTCGAAAAATTTAGGAGAGCACTGACTTAGATGTCCACCTGGGAATCTGGAAAACCTAGGACTACAGTTTTTGGCTAATTATCTGTTGTCTACATACTGAGTGACACAGTATACAATACACAAAGAGGCACCATTACCCCCATCAGATCTTTAGGCCCAGTCGGGTGTCCTACTTCCGATTAAAATCTTTCGTTGGTTTCATTCCTTAAAGAAATTTTCTCCAAAGCCAGAAATTCAAGATGATCTACAGTGTTTTATTTTTTTAATCTAATTACTAATAGACTGCCACAGGGGCCGTCGTTTTCACAATAGGAAGGAGTAAATGTTAACGCTGTTCTCTTTCTTTTGTTTCACCATTTTGTAACACATGACAGTTTTCATATGCTTGAGGAAGTGGGTTATGGATTACATTGTCTGATTTTTAGCTAAATTAGCCCTTATAAAATGGACAAAGGCTTTAAAAACATTTCCTGCAAAAAAAAAAAATAGTATAGCTTTTCAAGTAATACTAATAAACACAAACAAAAGTGAACACAGGAAAATGGAAGAATTGTTATCTCTTAGGCTGACTGCTAGCTCTTTGGCAGTCATATTTCAAGAAAAATCTGAGAATTCTAAAAAACAGAGAAGTTATCAGAAAGGTTGTTTGTAATTGGGCGTGGTGGCGCATACCTGTAGTCCCAGCTACTCAGGAGGCTGAGGCAGGAGGATTGCTTGAGCACAGAGTCTGAGGTTGCAGTGATCTATGATGATGCCACTGCACTCTAGCCTGGGTGACAGAGTGAGACTGTCTCAAAATAAAAAGAAAGGTGGTTTGTAGAGGATGGTGTGGTGTGCTGCCCAACAGCACTCATTCTCCCAGCTGCCAGAAGTATTGGCTGCTGAAGGTTCCCAGCTTGGTCCCTTCCCAAGAATTGCCCTTGCTCAAAGTCGTGCCTCTTCCCCAGGGATGGCCCCTGTCCAAGCTCCTGTGCAGTTACAAAGTTCTTGTCCCGTGTCCTCAGTTCAGAACACCTCTGAGGAGCCATCCAGTTCCAGAGCTCCCCCTAGGCCAGCTGAAGCCTCAGCTGCATAAACTTCTGCCCACCCCGCTTCCCTTGCCCCCTCTCAGGTAGTGTCCCTGAGACCCCTCCCCTAAAACTCGCTGCATGAAAATCTGCAGGTCAGGGTGGGTCTCCAGGAAACTCTGATGTAACAGGGTATCAGATCCACTACCATTCAAACTGGACCTTGATCTAAGTGTTTATTGTGCCCTGAATATTAACTAAAGTCTTAACACATGTACATAAATTATGAATGTATACATGTGTGTGTTTGTATACTGGGGGATTGTGTGCTCTAAAAATTTTCCTGATTGGAGTACCCCTAAAATATTAATACGTCACCAAATATGCAAAGACAGCATTTGAAACTGCTGACTTAAGGAGCTAGTTTTCCATTTTTTGGCTACTCTGTCATTAGTTCATTCACAAGCAAAGCAGACCATGTTACTCAAAAGCATAAGGTCCCCCATGGCCTCCAGGACAGAATCTAGTGCACATGAGTCTATGATAAAAAGACCACATGGATTTGGCCACTGCCAACCATCATGGCCTCATCCAGCTAGGCCTGTCCTGTACTTTACGCTCTACCAAGCCCATAATGATCTGTAATTTCACCAACACACTATGCTATTTATCACCACCAGGCCTTTTTACTCATGCTGTCCTGTCTGCTTGGAACCCCCTCCTACTTACTCAGAGCACCCCTTACCCCTTCCCTTGCTTAGCTTAACTGAGAACCTTACCGAGGGCAGCGGGTGGGAGCAGTTTGCCCAAGTGCAGCCAATAAGGGAGTGCACTGTTTGCAGAAAATTTTAAAAAAAAATAACTAACTAAAAGTGGGTGAGCTTTTTATTATCATCTGGCTCCAGCAATTCTGAGTGATGCCAATAATAAAATGGTCCTTCGACTAGGGCTGACTGTGCCCAAGGCCCATCCTGGATATGCCACATGCTCATTGAGCCAGTATTAACAGGAATTCCAGCTAACCCCGTGCACTTCCAGGAAAACCTGCAGGTTTGGATATAGGCCATTATTAACTCCAGGAAACCAAAGAAGTTATATAAAAAAGTCAAAGTAATCAGTATATAATATTGTCAGCAATACACAACATGGACATAGTCAAAGTAAGTACGTTACTGAACTGATTTAACCAAAAAATAATAATAATAATAATAAAATGAAATTATATTGGGACAATGAGAAAAGGAATACGCATGATTTTAGGAAGTAGGGTAGGAGACATATAATATAAGACAGGTGAACCGTGAGAAGTCAATCAGTAGCTAATATTCTTTAAAAATCAAGAAAACAAGGAGTAAACATTTCACTTAGAAATATAAAATTGAAAGTAGTAGAAACGGAGTGGGTACAGTTGCCAGTAGGAGAAGGGTACTATTTTATTATATAACCTTGCATTTTATACTATATATCCCCATTATTTTAATATGTATTTGATTGATTAATAAAATACTCAGCTCATGAATCAGTTCATTTAGAAAACCTTTCCCAACCTCTCTTCTGGGCTTTCAAAATATCCTAGCTGGGGTTATTTCTCTATCACTCTACTTATCACACTAATAAATAACAACCAGTTTCTGTCACTAGTTCCTCTATCAAATTGAGGTTCTTGCAGATAAGAACCAAGATTTATTTACACATTATTTGTATCCCCTGGCAGAAATGACACTTAAAATTAAATTCAAATCTGAATTCAGCAAATATTCACTGAGCTACAAGTAGACAAAAGAGTAATAAGACAAAGGGTTCTGATTTCAAAGAAGAAAGTTTATAACCATATAATGTCATCATACGGTGGAACTCAGTATGTACCAGAAATTATTTTAAGTACTTTGTGTTCATTCTATCATTAATTCCTTACAACTGCTTTATGAAGTAAACATAATTATACCCATTCTGCAGATGAGGAATCACAGACTGAGAGAGCTTAAGTAAATCACCCAGCTAGAAAGACATAAGGATGGTCCCAAATACAAGTACAGGCCAGGCACAGTGGCTCACACCTATAATCCCAGCATTTTGGGAGGCTGAGGTGGGAGGATTGCTTGAGGCCAGGAGTTCAAGACAAGCCTGGGCAACATTGCAAGACCCTGTCTCTACAAAAAAATAATTTTCAAAATTAAAAAAAATAGGAGTACAATATTGAGCTATAGCATCAATGGCCCTAAGCACAAACTCACAATATCTCTCACGAGATAAGACATGTTCACAACATGATTACAATATGCTACAATATATGGTAAAAGTCATAAAGATGATTATAGATGCAAGGGTCATAAGATCAGTGGGAGAGATATTCAGCCAGTATATTCTGTGAGGATGCCATAAAAAGGTAAAATTAAATGTGGAAATAAAGGGATAGGTAATATTGTAGGATATGCAGGGAAGACATATATAACAAGAAGACATATATCCAAGGAAGACATATAACAAGACATATATGCAGGGAAGACATATATAACAAGAAGACATAAAAATGTGAGGACAAATATGTTTATGTAGACAGGAGGTGCTAAATGTTTTGTGTCAAATCTCTCTCTAGCCAGAGAGAGAGAGAACAGGGAGAAGTATGAACTTAAGCACCTCTTTTTTGAATTTATAAAACACGGAAAGAGGGGGTGACTACCATAGAGAGTTTCTTCCTAAGTTAGTGAAATGGAGATGGGCTGGTGCGGGGTACAAAGCCTCTGAAACTGTGCAATTTTCCCACCCTGTTTGTTTCTGAAATCCTTCCATCCCTAACACTGGTGCTACAGTCCAAGCCACCATCTCTCTCTTATGCAAATCACTGCAATAGCCTCCTATTTCTAGCTTGCTAAAATCCATTCCTGCCTCTCTTAAATTTGGTCTATAGGATATAGGCACAAATTTTATTAGTCCCTTGAGAAAGTTCCTCATCACCCTTGTTAGGAAGGCTCAACTCCCTAATACGGCCCAGAAGGCTTAATGATCTGATCGCAACTATCTCTCAGGCCTCATCTCCACTCATTTCCCTCCCACTCTGCATCCGCCATGCTTCTCTTCTCAACCCAA